GAGAAATTTGAACTTAAGGAATATATATGACAGAATAAGGTGGAATGGCCAGTTAGAGCAGACCAGTACTTCAATCAGAGTTAAGAATTCACTGTGTTGCATTCTCAAGGCCAGAAATTATTTCGTTTTGGGGTACAATATTGGCCAGAGATTATGAAATGCTTTAATTAAACCTCAGTTTAATCCTATACAACATCATAAATAAGGAACAGAGCGATCCTAACAAATTAAACCCAATTAACCAATTTTTACAAGGAAAAGTAAAAAAGTAAGTACATTGTCCTAGAGGGTCATATGTAGGGACGACTGTTAACTTGCTCGAGACGTGACATGTCCATGGCCTTGCAGTTGCTCCTAGACATAGAATCAATTTTAATGTGCTGCTGTTCAAAATGAATATAATGAGAATATGCCCCATATCACAACTTGCATATATATATATTTCTTCAATTCTTCTTTAAATCATACCTGCAGAGAACAAACCAAATTGGCGTTGGCGTAGCAAATATAAACTTGCATTACCTTCTAGAAGTAGTACACGTCTAGAATCTGGACCGCAGAGGCAGGAAATTATAGTAATAATTGTTAGCTACACTGTTTATCGACAAGAAGATGACAACATACTTACAAATAAAGAAGACATACTTTTCCACGTGAATGCGGTCTAATGTTTTCTAGAGCAGAAGATGCCATAAGTAATTAAAAACAAAAATTGCATAAAATCAAACTGTGGTAAAGCTTTGAATCTTGATATTGACAATCAAATTATAAAGGGATTAATTGTATGTAAGTAGTACAAAAGAATTGCCGGGCAAATCTCCTTTGGCAGAGGGCACACTACATAAATGCATGAGTTTGGGTGCACATGTAAGTGGCTGCCTGCCAATGGAGACCTTGCCCTGTAATGCAGTTGCACCCTGAACTCGCCTTGTGTTTGCTACAGTGCCCCTTTCCTTATTTATGCCCTCCTGGAAGGAGCATATTCAATGGAACAATTCTTTGCTGTTCGACTTTGCAAGCTAGATGAATGTTGCTTTTTCTGGGGTGAATCACAGCCACTTGATTGTACATATCTTGAAATTCCATATATTTTTCAGTGAAATGTATAGAGGAAAATGTGAGAAACTAATGACCAGGATTGAGTATCACTTGGACATGTGACCAATGTGGTCCCCTTGTTATTCATCAGGACCACAACATATTTCACTAGCACTAGTAAATATCGAATCGACTTTGTAGATTTTGATTAGGCCATTAAACTAGTCCTTAATCTCATCTTGTTTAGACAATGAATAAATTCTCACTAAAGATAGAAAAAGGAAAGAGGAAAAAGAAAGGTTGGAGAATAAGCTGTAATGGATGCTTTGATATGGAAGATCCGGAGAATGTTCTGATCTATTATCTACTCGTGCTGTCCTTTTTGTAAGGCTGTAGTCAAGCAGCCAAATGGACCCCAAAAGTTGATTTATGCAGACACTCGAGGCTGCATTTATCCCCATGGCTTAATTCTTTTTGTACTGCATTGTGCACATATAATATGGCAATTACTGATTATTCTACTTATAACCGCAACCTTCTTCATCCATAAGAAAGCTGTTAGCCTTAGAATTCAACCTCAGGCTTTAAAACAACTCGATGTGTACCATTCACCTGAATTTACATATAATAATATTCATTTTTTATTAAAAATAAGTCATTTGTGGATATTATCAGTAGGGTTCGTGCAAATTCAGCATGCACTTTAACTTAAGAGAGTAAGGAGACAGTTTCTTTTATGCACTTCCAACCAGAAGGATAAAAAAAAAAAAGAATCCTCTGTTGGCACTTGAATTATCTGATAATCACATAAGCTGTCCAGGAAATTGTTGCATCAATAAAGTAAATTGAATTTACTATAATAGAGAAAGCAAGTGATTTTATGATTTCATTACGTTGAAACCTAACAAGAAGTTGGCCCACGACGGCAACTAATAAATTTCAGTACTCCTTTCCACCGACTTGAATCTAGGCCTAATCACAAGCAGTGAAATTCTACTTGCACCAATTAAAACAAGCCCAAGAGGTGATCCAGGTCTAGATATAGTGACACCGTGATCGGTTTATTATAAGTCCAGATATGCTGGGTCTTGAGGCCCAAACAAGCGTATACCCTTTGTTTGTGTGTGTGTTGTTCCGAAGGTTATCCAAAGATTAGTTTACGTTCCAGTCCAATTTTCATCCTATCATTTACACTGCAATCAAGGACAACTTGTTTTTCTTTTGCTGTTTCTAATTTTTATCTTGTCCTGTGATAACAGGACTACTGTTGACACTGCTACAATGCAGGGCTGTAGAAGTACTTTCAGCTTTCTGATAATTTACAGAGTTGAGATTCCTCATTTCTTAACAAAAGAACAGTTTGGGTATCCCTCTAAGGCTTGTACTTTCCAATAATCTATGACAAACTTTAACAAAAGGAGTTTTCATCTTCAATCTCTACGGATATACTGCTTCCAAGACTCGCTTTAACACATTGGACATCAAAATAGTCCTGGATATAGCCGTCCTAAGGAAATTATTCAATCCTAGAATGAACACCAAATAAGACAGGCTGAAGGTTTTTGCCCCTTGTTTTGGTTAAATAATTGTTTTATTTATTCCCAACGTAAAAACTTTAGTAGTGCTTGCAAGCTCGACAGTTAGCTGATCATGTGACTCCTGATTCCCTGGACGAGAAGATAAAAGGGAAACAGGGCTTCCACATCTAGACAAGAATTTGGTAGAAAGTAGAGCCTCATTTCACAAAACTGAGAGGGAGACGTCAAGCAGAAATGGACAAAGGAAACAGATGGAAAGACGGGTTTAAAACATTGAAATATCGGAGGATAAAGGGACAGAAAAGGACCCCTAAATGGGGTTTCAAAAGAGAGGGGAGGGGGTGCCGCTAGAGTACGCAACAAACAAAAGCTAATGAGAGTGATTTAAGGAGGGGCGCAAAGTAATGGAGCTGCTAAAATCCAAGGTTCTTGCCCTCTTTGCCTTTATGTGTGTTTGTTGGCTGCTTCCTGCTGCATGCTTGTCAAAGAAATGATAAAAATTTGAGAAGTGGACAACTTCGGTCATCGATAATAGGCAAAAGAACCCTGATATATACTTGGCCTTATCTTGGTACAGCTCATGAACTCTACGCTCACTGTTTATACCAACGGTTTTGCTATTATATTTTATCATATCTATCAATTGTTTTGCCCTTTTTATTTGGATTCAGAATAGTAGGGAAGGACGCTCCAATGGGGATTAAGGAATCATTTGTGCAGTAGTAATATTTTTCCAATGTCGTTAAGAATCTCCAATCAGTTTCCAGTTTCCTCTCAAGTTCATTGTGGATAACTTGATATGATTCGTTATAAGAATAGAAAATTGTAATGAAATGTCTGTGTGTGAGCCAGATGCAGCCAATTATGCTTTTATTGTCACACAAGAATAATCTTGTTCCTTTTATTAATGGGTACTTCTAGTATTTTTTTTATGTTATCTTTGCACTTTTCTTATTAAAACTACGAAAGGGAACAAGGATTTGCGGACATCTAGGTTATGGATAACCATTATTTGGTGTCACAGTAGAATCTATATGGCATACAATGCACTGTAGGAATCGAGCTTTTACTTTGCACACCCTTTTTTAGTTGTTTATCAGAGATCTCTTCTGTATGTGTTTTAACTACACATCCAAAATATCTCCTTAATACGTTTCAGAACGAAACGAAGTACTACCAACCGAGTATTATGAGGCATAAAATGAAGGGAAAAATGCTAAGAGAAGGGGGGTGGGTGGGGAAAGAACTGCAATGATCGAACTTTTCAATCTGAAAAGCTCAAGGGTGAAACACTTTTTCACCTTTGAAACAAGGGTGTGGGTGTGGTGTACGTACTTGAAACCCAGAATAGCTAGACAGCTGGATTCAAAGAGGGTATATGATAACCCCCAGAAGAAGAAAGAACGATAAAGAATAAAACAGAAGTGAGAGTGTCAGAGCATGTGACCTGCAAAGGCCACAACTAGCTAGCAGGCAAGGCAAAGGGCCTTTGCGGGGGACAAAGAGAAACCAATAAGAGTTGGCCCGTGAAGACTGAAATATGCCTCACCAGCAGCACGGCATAGATATATACAAACATTGACTGACTCTGTTGCCCTATGGTTTGATTGATTGCCTGATTCTGAGAGTCTGACTGCGACCATCTAGCTCCTCAGCCATATCTGACTCAATTCCCACATCCCTTCCCATGCAAATATTGCCAACTGAAACAGAGAATATGACAACCAAATAATCCAGTTTGTGTATCATTTCAATTTGAGCCTTATTATTTTGGCATATCTTGTTAGCCTCTAGTGGCCTTGTTCTCTTACATTATTAATAGAGTATTATTTTGTCCCCAGGTTTCATGTCTTGGTATTTGCTAGTCCATACTTTATTGTTGGTTAATCTATCTAATTAAAGTGGAGAGGGATATATATATATCAAATTGAATACTCTACTCTTATTACTGTTAATTAATAAAATTCTTGTCTTTTCTCATTTCTAAAGTTACCATAACTACTTCCAACAATTCTAGGATGTCACATGATATGCTACCTAACGAAGCAGCTGAAAACCATTCCAACACATAATCCAAATTAGAAATTAAAAAATTTTAAAGTATAGAATTCCACAACTATTCCCTTTAATATTCCAAAATAATTCCACATCAGCTAGAGTTATGAGTTATTAAAACTTATAGGAAGAACATCATGTTACCCATGCCAATAATTGCCTAGTGTTTGCAAAGTATTCATCTTTTCCTTCCCCTCCATCCTTAAGTTTTTCTGCTCAATTCCATTATCATATAAGACAAGCACATGGCAACTAGGCATTTATGGATCCCAAGACATACCCTCTCAACTACTCATCCCCTTTTCCCATCCTATAAAAGCTAGGCCACTACATTCAAATCTTTACTACTACACATTTTACAGAGAAAGACAGAAAGGGGAGATCACCACAGAGAGAGAGAGAGAGAGAGAAGAGATGGTAACTAAGCTGCAAAGAAGAACAGCACCTCGCAGAAAGATTCACCTTCTGCGAACTCTCACCAACTCCAAATCTGTAATACAAAAATATACTATTGTTCTATCCCCTTGTTTGTTTTTTTTGTCAATACCAATTAATCTTGGTTTAGAAATCAGAAGTGATCATTCTTTGGATTCCAAAAACTTATCAGGTTCATGATGTTAATCCCACTTTTTCTTTTGCTTGTTTTTGAAGGTTAAAAGGAGTTCCGTCGTCTTAAATGTTTTTCTCCACATTTACAAACTCAAAGTCAAGTTGGAAGAAATACAAAGAGAGCATCAAAACCTTATGGCTATCAAAAACGAATACTTAACTCTATTGAAGCATGTACAAATCCCAAAGGTGATCTGCTTTTCTCTCTGGTGTCTGGTGACAATGTATATATATAAGTACGTTCTTTTTTCAATTCATATATATGCATGAAATCTAAGCAGGAAGTGAAGGTGGAGAAGATTGGAGAAGAGTTTGTAGTTAAAGTGACTTGCAACAAAGGAGGGGACAAGTTGGTGTCAATACTAGAGGCTTTTGATGAACTGGGTCTTAATGTTCTTCAAGCAAGAGTTTCATGCAACCATTTCTTTTCAATGGAAGCCATTGCTGTAGCTCAAGACCAACAAACAACTGATATCAAAGATATAACTCAAGCTGTTCTTAAGGCCATTGAAAAGCATGGTGGGGGGGAGGAGACGCTTGTAACATAGAAGTATTCATTATTAATTAATGGAAGGTTTGCCCATGTGTTGGAAATGTTAACGTTTTGTCTAACAACCTAGCTAGGTTCTCGTTTTCATTTATAATGCTGAGGAGGATTTTGAACATGAGAAGACATGTAAGAATTTTAATCAATATTCGTCTTGTTTTAGTTTCTCACCACCAAATCAGTATATCCCCTCATCGGATTTCACTGTTTATTTCTTTAAAAGGAGAAAAAAAAACCACAGCAGTAGCTGTTTAGCCCCATTTATTTATTTATCACAAAGATCTTCTTATTGCAGAAAGGGCAACAAAAATAGGCCGTAAGATTGCAGAAAGGGTAACAAAAATAGGCAAGAAAGAATTAAGCACAGAAAAATAATTCCGTTGCCGGGAATCGAACCCGGGTCTCCTGGGTGAAAGCCAGATATCCTAACCGCTGGACGACAACGGATTGATTACTTGATCTCGAGCTAAAATTTACCAGTACTTAGTCTATTGTTTTTGGAATATTCCTTTTGCAAAGTTTTGGACAATGAAAAACATATTTTGGTATTTTTGGATCCCTATTCTGGAGAAAGTAAAATATACAACCTGTAGTTAGAATACAAATCAAGCTATTGGTTGGTAATTAATTAGTGGATGAGATCCTTTGAAATTGGAGCAAATTGTGACCCATTAAATCCATCTCGAATAATGGGCCCATCTTGTACAAACTTTACCATCAGTCCAACCCTAGATGACGCCCAGAGCCCAGGAGAAAATCCTTCTTTCGGAATTTAGAATAAAAAAGATAAAAAGTAAAAGAGAGATTGCACTTTTGATATCGTTATATAATCCTCCTCTACAAATTAGACAACAACATATTCAGTCCAAAAATTAATAATTATGCTTGCTCAGCCTATATATATTCAATATCTACAAGTTTAGGTAGACTTCAAATGTTTATGGCACATATATTCAATCCGGTTGGTAGTGAAACTCTGACCCCTGGGAGAAAATCATCATATGAATCTCCAAATTAAATTAAAAAACAATCTGGATGTGACATGACCAAAAAAGAAAAATTAAAAGAACCCAAAGCTGATGACAGCTTAAAACCCTATCCATAAAACAAATGAATTACTTTGCAATTCCATGGAATTAAACCATTGTAAATATCGAAAGAACCTGTTTTGTAAAATATATATATATCACTATAATCAAACTAGGGCCAGCACTATCGAGTTAATTAAAGTATTAATACATTAATAAATCGTTTTAATTACGAGAGAATTGGATATACGCAATCAAGGATTGGCCCCAGGTTTCTTTTAAAGAAGTCTATAAAGGTGTTTATATATACAGTGAGTCTACATTAGATGTTGTAAGCATCTTGACCGTCCATTACTATATTAATTGATGTGACCCGGAAGATGATGAAAATTGTGGGGGTTTTTTTTAAAAAAAATTGTCATTTATACAAGCTATATATGACAAGAGAATATAGCTGTAATAAGAGTTTGGTGCCTTCCTTGAATGGCTATGGCGGTCCAACAGTTATATGTCAAGGCTTTCGACAACCCATTGGCTGAAGTTGTCACTTACTTTATGCCCCAATCAAAGCTCAAAATGGTTCCAGGCAAGTAAGAGTTTCAGTTAACTAAAGAGCTGCCTGACCTATAATCTTAGATAATGCCTCAACATGAAAGGCCATCAATTCAACTTAGTTCACATCAAGTTGGTTTCTTGGTCTGAAGACCAACTGATATGCACCATGCTTACCTAATTAATCCCTACATGTTAAACTAGAAGAAAAAAAAGGACATTGTACAATCTTGTGGTGATATATTGATAGAGTCTAGGAATGGCAAAGTGTTGATTTGCAACTAATGAAGCAAGGTATCCACCTCGATCGTGCATGCCTTGATTGGTTTACTTTGTAGTGATCTTGATCCCACATTACATGGATCTAGAAAGCATGTGAAATACATTCCATTGGATGTTGAGATCCAAAAGATTTTATGAATACAAGCAAACCAGGGTATGGGTTTGTTTTTTATCTTAATCTTTGTACAATAAAAAAACCATCATCATTTGCATATGTCAAACGGGTTCTAAATAAAAAAATGTCATGCATTGTCGTCTCTAAAAAGTATAATAGATCCTGGTTTGCTCATAGTTTGGAGGGAGTTCCAAGATAAGATGTGAAAGAGGAAGGCATGGGGAAGTTTCTAATTCTTCAATTAAATAATAAATGTAATATTTTCTCCCCATTTTGTTGCTTTTTTTTTTCTTTTTGAGGGGGTCGAGAGGGGCATGGCAGATGCCGTAGGTGTGGGAAGTCAGAGATGGGAACAGTGAATATAAAAGTGTGCGGTTAATAAGAGTCATTCAATGCTCATATTAAAAAATTTAAAACGTATTAATTATAAGAAGAAGAAACTAAAAATCATCATACTCTCATTGCTTCACGCATCAATGAACTCTAGAAGGATTAAAGTCTTGTGATATTGTTGATGTGACAAATCACCCAATTGCCTCTGTCCATCCCTTTCCCTGTTGGGCAGAGACACAGTCCAAGGAGTGACCTAGTCAACAATGTAGGATTTTTTCCATTTTTAAGTTCCAATCCTCATTATCTATTTGGAAGTATAAATCCACATTAACCAAGAATCAAAATCAAACATTGTTTTGAATTACAAAAGGTAAATGTATATCTTTCTAGTCGCATATGGCCGTGATTACATCCTCATAATCGAACCAAATATTGACGATTAAATCATTGCGATAGGACTAAATTATATATTGTCCTCATCGAAAGCCTCTCATCAAATGGTTGTTTCCAAGTCCCTAAAACTTTTCACAAATCAATATGCCACTTATCCATTATTCTGTAATAGGGAGAGGCTTTTCTATATTTTAATTGGAGTGAGAGCTGGGGGAATCTCAATTATGAAAGTAGGAGTATTGTATACTTGTATCAATTAGTAGAATAATCAGCAACAGTGTTCATGAGGAGTTTCAAGTATATAAGCCATTTTCTTAATAATGAAGGAGAAAAAATCAAAGAAATGGAAGTGAAGACAAGGGTAAGAGTTGGTTAGGAGGGGAGGGGGGGTTAGTACCCAAGGAATGAAGAGAGTTAAGATTAAGACAAGGCCAAAGTTGATGAAGTCACCATCATTGAATTGTGTTATTATAATTGACTAGATAGTATATAAATTAAGCAAATGGATAACTTTCTCGTCAATTGTTACGAAAAGACCATGTGAACTGAATCAAAGTGCTCCTTTTCCTTTCTTTCTTTTCTTTTCTATGTGTGTGAGTTTGATTAGAAGAGATAGCTGGTCTCTTTAGGAGCCTCAAAATATCAAAGACAGATTCTTGTTTCTTACAGTCCTAGCACGATTAATGAATGTCAAGCAAGTATTAAATTAATTAAGTGTCAATTCTAATTTACCTCTTTTTTTCCCAAAGTTTTAATTAAAAGAAACTAGCAAATTTAATACATAGACCATATATACAATTCTTTCTTTTTAATAGAAATGCGTACTGAAAATTACATAATTACATTTTATGTTTACAAATATGAATACATGTAAGCCGAACCTTTATCTGTAGTTCATATTTAATTAAAAAACAAAGTAATAATAACAAAAAAAAATAACCTTTTAAGTGCTAACCACAGAACTCAATTCTAAAGCTCATGCTGCCCAAAAGCTGTACTAGTAACTAATCTAATTAACCTAAAACAATGCTTGGTCTATATACTAGATTCAGGGTTAGGCATTTGTAGAAGAGACAGTTTCTAACAACACCAACCCCTCCAAAAAAAAAAAGAGAAAATATAGAAGAACATGCTATATATTTATAAAAGAAAGAAGACAACCAGAATAGTGAGGAACGGGGGTGGGTACTTGGCAATTCTCATATAAGAAAAGATGATGAACAGTGGGAACCCTAATCAATGTGCTTTGAATAATATAATAACCAATAATTAAAAAATTCAAATAAAAAAAAACAAAGAGGTGTATATTAAATAGAAGGTGAAAATAATGAAAAGAAGGGTCATTTTCAAGTTGGATTATAATAAAGTTTAGGATTATATCACATTTGCTTGCACGTCCTTTATAAAGAAATACCAAAACCCAATCTGTCAACATGCCGCCCCCCCATTTTTAAAAGGACCACTCTCTCCTCTCTAGTTGCTTCTTCTTCTTCGACCTAACCCTTTCTCTCTCCTTATTCTTCTTCGCTTTGCTCCTCCTCCAGGATTAATCAACGGCCACCGTCACACGCATCATCAACTTCTCTCTCATCATCAAGCTCTCTGATCGTCATGGATGGTAGTTTCAACAAGGCCAACAACCCTTTTGTTAGCGAACAACAATTAGAAGAAAACGACAACGTTTCATCTGAAAACGGCGCCGAATCACCTCCTTCTACCACTTTCAACGACATGAAACTCGCTTCTCCTAAAAAAGGGTAATTTTTCCCTACCTTGTTGGTTTTTTGGCTTAAAAATACTCAAAATTCTGTTAAGTTCGTTGTTTGCATTTTTATCTTTAGTTTTAACGTAATGGAGTTTTGTTACAGTAGACGATCCATACAGAAAAGAGTGGTGTCAGTGCCAATCAAGGACGTTGAAGGTTCCCGCCTTAAAGGCGAGAGCGCTCCACCGTCGGATTCTTGGGCTTGGCGAAAGTACGGCCAGAAGCCCATCAAAGGCTCTCCCTACCCCAGGTAAGCAACTAAAGCAAATAGCAGTGATTTAACCAATGTTTATCTGCATCGAAGCGTCAATTACACATCAACCGGTGATTAAGGTTTCTGTTTTGATTATACGACAGAGGTTATTACCGGTGTAGTAGCTCCAAGGGATGTCCAGCAAGAAAACAAGTTGAGAGGAGCCGTGTGGACCCTACAATGTTAGTGATAACGTACTCCTGCGAACACAATCATCCTTGGCCTGCCTCTAGAAACAACACCACCGCCGCTAAACAAGCTGCGGCGGCGGCAGCTGCTGCAGCAGCAGCAGCAACAGCAACGGAGACAACAACCACAACAGCGGCAAAGGCCGAGCCATCTACGTCGCAGCCCGACACGGAACAGGAATTCGGAACCGAAGAGAAGTTCGCTGATCTGACGGACGACTCCATCCTTACCACGGGGGATGAATTCGCTTGGTTTGGCGAGATGGAAACGACGTCGTCGACGGTGTTGGAGAGCCCGATATTTACGGAGAGGGATAATAGCGTAGCTGACGTGGCGATGATTTTCCCGATGAGGGAAGAGGACGAGTCGTTATTCGCCGATTTGGGCGAGTTGCCCGAGTGCTCGTTTGTGTTCAGGCACCAACGGAATGTGGGACCACAGGTGGGGATCTGCTGACAGGTGGCTAATTTAGCAATTTGCAAGTATGCGGAGGAGTCGTTGGTTTCAACGGCGTGCGCATCGTGTGCCACAAGATACGAAAAAGAGAAAAACGGAGACAGACAAAAGGAGAAAAACAGAAAGGGAAAACCAAAATTTTTATTTATTTTTATAGTCTCTTACACTATCCCTTCAAGCACATTTTGAATTTTCTCTGATATTTTTTCTTCTCTTACAGTTTAATTTGCCTTGATTTCGGTGTAGTAAATGAATAAAAAATTCCGAATTCCTCATTCTGTCGTTACATTGTTGTAGCCAACATCATTTGCCGTCTACGTACGTAATTTGATTGAATATAAATTACTCTATTTTTTAACTTAAAGTAAATCTGAAAATTTTACTATCAGACAGTAGTTCGTTTCCGTGCAAACTGAACTCACAGCCAGTATTTCTTACTTCTCAAATTTGAACTCCTGCTTGACTAAAGTGGCGATAATAGCCGATTTAGACTTCCCTCATTTTCCCTATTACAACTTGTCAGACAAGTTATTACTTTTTACATTAAATCAAATCATAACGTGGTGCCGTAAATTATTATATATTAAGATTCAATCTCAATCATTTATGTACTTGTAAATTGATTTTTATATGCCCGTAGACTGGGGCATGAACACCACTCGTCGTTGGATCTTATTGCAAATTGCCGGGCTTTAGAAGTTTGGATGTGTACAAGCGTAAAAATGACCCCTTCAGATTGGGTCGATATAAGCTGCAATTTTCATCTACATCTTGCCTACCAAGGACAAATTGGATGGTCACGACTTTCACAAGAAAAAGGAGAATTGAATATGGGAAGATTCTAATGCTTTTGATTGGATGAAAGTTCAAATGATTGGCCGGCTATACCATAAAGTCAAATCAACTGAAAACTTTGACTTTTCGGTGATGGGTATGGCTGGAAAAATACAACCCATTTTTATAAGCTTCGGTTCTTAATCACTCAAACATCATACAGGTCAGTAGTACATTTACAGAGGTTCACATGGTTTTAGATAAGCTATAAGCTAATCTTTGCTTGTATCTTAAGCTTTCCCCCAGCTAAGCCAAAGGCAAGGCAAAGAAAATTGCAATTTTATAATCCCTGACATCCAAAAATTAAAAAAAAAAGAAGAAAAGTACTAATATAAGGAGCAGTTGAGGCAGAGAAGAGGGATTGAGGGACCCAAGTTGATATCAAAGTTCAAAGCTTTTAATTATTTTTTATTGGTTAATAATTAAGATTCAGTCAATTTTTTTTTATTTTAAATCACAATCTCTTAAATCTGTAAGCAGTGGTTGTTAATTTGAAATATTTATTTATTTTTTAGATTAAGTCTTGATTTGCAACTCTACGTCTTACACGTTTATAGAAGAGGTCAGGGTAACGTCACCAATGAGATGTATACTTTTTTTAATTTTCTTCTTATCCATTATTGCATAGGGATACATAAATTAAGACAAATGCCAGCTTAGCTAACTAGGGCTAGCCGTTAATGTAAGAAAAAAAAACACTATCAGCAAATCTCAGCATTTGGATATGGGGTTGTGGTTGTGAACTAATTTACAAGTAGTTTGCCCTGCCTTAATAGGATAAAATCATGCAAACTCAAAAAACCAACTCTTGGGAGAGAAGGATAAGTACCATCATTCATTCATTCATTCATTCATTTTGGGTCTGCCTGGGAAGGGAAAGAAAAAGACTAGATATGGTAATTCCAATATGAGAGCTGGGAACAACTGTTCTCAGGCAACAGATTTTTCTAAGCACCTATTTAAATGCAATAGTGTAATACCTTGCTCCTCATTCGCCTCTTGTCTACTAAAAATAAGTTATAACAGCCACCAGGAAAAATTTTGAATGTAAATTAAATCAATCTCGGCCGATCTCCCCTACTGTAGGTACCTTTTTGAGAAAAATTTTACAAAACCAAGTTTTACAAAGAAATCCGTGCGGCAGAAACAAACCCCCAGCCACATCCTTAAGACAATCGACTTCAGGTTAACATCCTAGCTTGAGCAGCACCCGCCTTTCTTCATTGCAGAGACGTCTTTGCTGACATCGATTTTCTCGCCTTTGGAAGGAACAGCTGAAGCAGCCCCTTCGTCACCTGTCTCCATAGCCTTCTTGCTCACAATATGGTAGATCTGAGTAAGAACTTCAGCAAATGCGTTTTCCACGTTAGTAGCTTCCAGAGCTGAAGTTTCCATGAAGTAGAGAGACTCTTTCTCAGCAAAGGATTTCCCATCTTCGGTTGAGACAGCCACAAGGTGACGAAGATCTGATTTGTTACCAATGAGCATGACTACAATGTTGGGATCCGTGTGATCCCTCAACTCTCTTAACCACCTCTCAACATTTTCAAATGTGGAGTGCCGCGTAACATCATACACAAGAAGTGCACCAACAGCTCCTCGGTAGTAGGCACTTGTTATGGCACGATACCTATAAGTGTGAAAAGAGCAGTTCAGAATACAATACAAAAGAATCAGAAGAACACAACAAATGATTGCTACAAGTAAAAATGTCAAAGGTCTAAAATTAAAACAAATTGATTTGCAACACTCATTTCGGTACAAAAGAACAATGTTTATGGTATAAAGAGGATACATCACAAAGTATCGAGCCATTTAAGAACCTCATCATCCTTAACCACGCTCTATACCCATGTCCCTAAAGATCAAGGAGTTGAAATCAAAGGTTCAATCATAGTCTTTTCTTTTTCTGCGATAGTAAAACTACAACAGTGCAATCTATGAAGAAAAAGCATTCTACCCAACCACCCTTAGCTGAACCCGAACTGTAAACATATTGTAAACCTCAACTCAAACTCTCGCTGAGTGAGATGTATTCGCTATTCTTCAGGGCCTATCCTCATCTGTTCCTTTCCTTTTCTTTCTGTAAACCCAAGGAAGAGGATGATGCCTTGTGCTTTGTTTTTTAAATCAATGAACCACCTCAGAAAACACATATAGTAGCCTTACATCCTATTTGAACAAGGAAATCTTGTGTCCTTGCTCTTTTGGATCTCGAAGCCCCCACATTTCAGTTAGAAATGGTAGTTTTCTGCTTACTAACCTTATAATTATTTTTCATCATTTTTTCAATGAGAACTTCAATTTAATGCCTCATCCAACATTCTTGGAGGAAGATTGGGAAATAAAGTAGAAACTTATATTAAAGGAATGAAAATCCAACTATTTCAAATCTTAGGGTTTGAAAACTTAAGTACATTGGAACTACAATAGATGAGAGTATGCTTCATGGAATCATGTTATTTGTCAACTAAGATTTGGTGGTCTTGGAGGTGGAACGAGCTATAGTGGCAAAAAGGGAATTCCCCAGCCACTCCGGGGTGAGTTTAAAATTTGGATATATGACAGAATAGAATATGGTAGATGGGTGTCTGGCTGGGGAGACAATGTGGCAGGCAGCATTTGCAATAATAACTGTCAAATTGGTGTTGGCAGCAATAACGGATGATTGAACTCACTAGTTGGTGATGATGTGGCAGCTAAGATGGTAAAGATTATACAGCAGGAGCAAAGGGCAGTGCCAGGCTAGCATGTTGGCGGCAGCAGTGATCATGCTAGTGCAACCGCACTCTGCACCACAAGATAATGGTGGTAACCATAAGGGGCTTTGCAGAATGGTTTTTTAACCACTTCTGGCAACAGAAAGGTAAAATGATATACCTACAATGGGGCGCTTAGCTCTAGGGGCCAAGGGACTTTCCTATTGAACATTTTTTATTTTAACAGGCTAAAATACCAACATCATTGTCAAGTCTACATTGGACAACAGAGTATCTCATCTAAACATAAGATTTAGGAGTTGTTCAATAAAATGTTATAGCAACATGCTGAGTGAAGCAAGCTAGTAGTCCACCAAATTCAGTAGTAAATAATAGCATGTCAGTCTCCGTGTAAAGTGTTCCACGATGCAAAAGAATCCTAAAGAAACAGTTAGTACCAACTTTAGGCAGAGAAGAAAAATAATAAATAAATAAAATAATTGAAGAACTACTCTTTCCCATCACATCCTGAACTGTAAAACCACAACATGACTAAAAGATCCCTTTAACAACCAACATCTATTTACTGCAACAACTAACATCTATTTACTTGTTCAGGCAATTTCTTCCATTATTACACGGTGACTACAAGGTCCCTGTAACAACCAGCAATGTCAAGCCACGTTTAATGCTAAACCCTAGACTTGCAGATTCCATACACACAAAGAGACACAAGATACAGATAAGCAATGATCATCTCGTTGTGACTACACATGACAAAATCAGGAGCACGGAAGTAACCAAGACTAATAGATGATGGTTGTGACTGGCATTATCAGGCAGATGACGTTAATCTCTCAAAAACCAACTTGTTACAGAACTTACGCGAGTAAACTAAATTCTCAGTGCAATCTAGCTCTAGCATCAAGCCGAAACCATGCCTAGCAGGAAGCAAACATATTACTGCAAATCATAAACACTTCCTTTCTTACTCATTGTCAAGCCACTGATAAAAACTGCAAAAGAAATATATATAACTCATATAACATGATGCAGAAACGTCAAGATCTGCTGATCGCACTTCAAATCTATGTTCGTCTATTCAAAACCAAGCTATTAGGAAAACAAGAGATTTGTAAAAAAACAACCACCACAACACCATTTAGGCACATGTTACTCACAGATCTAGATATGCAAGAAACTTCTTTTTGTAATATATAGGTAAAGAAAACACTTCTTAAATCCCATTTCAGATAAAATCAAACTCTTCCAGAATCAAAGTTGCTTTCCTTTCCCAAGCAGCCAAACATTTCCAGAACACGATCTCCAAGAAGAACAAACACCCAATTCCGTTTTGATATTTGCTCATCTTTGTTAGCAAAATCAGCTCAAAACAAAAGATACCCAGATCAAGAAACAAGAAAAGAAGACAAGGGAATAGTAAAAAAGTGAGACCTTTCTTGACCAGCAGTGTCCCAAATCTGGGCCTTGATAACCTTGCCATCAACATTCAAGCTACGAGTAGCGAACTCGACGCCAATGGTGGACTTAGACTCGAGGCTAAACTCGTTCCTGGTGAACCTCGAGAGCAGATTGGACTTTCCCACTCCTGAATCACCGATCAACACCACCTTGAAAAGGTAGTCATAGTCATCCTCTGCTCTGTAACCAGCCATCTTTCACACTTCTCAAAACCACCGTTGTTGCACTCTTCTTTGCTTCGCCTTTGCTTTACTTCAAGGAAATATGAGAGAGAGTGATATACGGGTTGTTTCAAGGTTATTAAGCCTTTCTTAAGATCTCACTCTCTAGAAAAAATTTCTTGTGTTTTCCTTTTCTTTCTTTAACCTTTTATTTTGATGAGTTGGAAATGTAAAAGACTGCTGTCTGCTTGGCTGGACTCCAGAGTGGAAAACAGAGGAAGTGGGGGGTATGTCCTTTTTGAAAGTTGGGGCCGCGTTCTATGGTTTCGGCCCTTTAGGCCTTTTGGGTTTCTTCAGGAACTTAAAATGACATTAATGCCTTCAAATTCTCCCCCTCTAATATCTTTTAGTTGTTATGAAATGAGGGTGTATTGGTCAGTTTACCGAATGCCATAGAATTGGGTTGAAGCCTTGAAGGTTGGTAATTATAGGATTTTCGTGTCTTTTTTTAGAGAAAGAAATCCTTCAATTTGAAGTCTTCAAATGACTTCAATGTTGGTGTTGGGATCTTTGCTGTTTTTCGGCTTGAGGTTTAAATGAGGTTGGTGACTGGTGAGGTTTAAGGACATTATTCCTGTTGTTTGAATACTGTTCATTGTACTCTTTTTTGTTGGTTTATGTTCTTTATTTTGTTATTAAAAAACAAACCAGCATGTAAACTGTTGTCTTTTCATAATTAAATACTAGAATGATATTAAAAAGAATGAGGAAAACAAATTCAGGTGCTAGAAATTATTTAAACTAGTTTGAAGATGGTCAATTGTAGTTGAAATCAGATAAGAGGAAAGGAAAAAACAATAGAGCTTGGATTTCAAATCTACTATTTAAGAAGGAAAACCTACTGTTAAATATACTAATTAAGCTACACCCAAAGAGTTAAAAATGTTGAGAGTGGTTTTCTACCAAAAGGCCTTGTGAAATGCATAGCTTTTATTGGGAGTAATTGGAGGAGAAAATGACAGGTAATTCTTCATGGGTTATGTGATTTGTTAAACTTGAGCCTTCATGGGCTACAACTAATCACCATCATCTTCAAAATTGGAGCACCTGTGAATTTCAAGTACTTTTCATCATACTCTCCATTTCTTTTTTCTAGAAAGGACCATAGCTTTACCTTAATTTATCATCATTTGGTCAAAAGACTCCAAGTTGCTACTAATATTTTTCCATAGTGGAGGAATAAATTTAGCATGAATCCAGTTTAACCAATCCAGCTGTTATCTTTGATTTTGTTGATTCTCATACAATATTTTATTGTTTTTTGGGTTTGAACGCGTGTACAATTTAAACGCATGTGAAACTGAATCAAATATGACAGCTACACTTTCCAGATTCAAGCATTCAATACCAAATCTTGCAGCCAGTATTGGGTTATAAGGCCAGACCATTGCAGTAATGAAATAATTTGACCCAGCTCATGGCCTATCTTGATCCCTGAATCCAGTCCTCTTTGTCACACCGCTCTGCCAGCAAGGGGTCCATAGTATTCACTTTCACTTGGGCCTTGACCCTTGAACCAAACCAACTCTAACTCAAACTTGCAAACAATAAGTTGGCTATCAAGGAAGAAGGAGACAGTGTTTAGGCTGCTATTGTTCAATTGTTGTAATTTGGATAACATTTTTCATGACATTAAGATGCTAAAAAGATTGTCTTACAGTGACGACTTGACATGAATCTCACTTTTCCTTCTGCTTTTCACCAGTGTTGATGATGAATTGTTGGATCATGTCCAATCTCATATTGTCACCTCCCCCTGGTGCTTAGATTTCTAGTTTGAATGTCTGAGGGCCATAAGATCAAAGAAAACAGGGGTTTAAGGCACAGCAAATAGGTTCATTGTGCCATCGACATTGCAGGAAATGGAACTTCTAATTCACCCCGATTTTGCTTGAAAGAACAAAGTCTTGCCCAAAGCAAAAAGAAAATCAAATATAAGCCCAAGAAAAAAGAAGCCCTTTCTTAAGCTGTTAAATCATTTGCTTTCACGATGGATTCACCAATAGGCCTAAGATCAAAGCCAGTAAAGCACTGTTCCAATTCCATCTGGAGCTGGTTTGTCTTTAGGTCAACATGGACAGGTCTTCTATATGGACTTGTCCCAAAAGATTAAAAGTCAATTTTGTTACAATCAGTTCAGCCTTAGTGATCAAAAAGGCAAAACTTCAGGACACGCCACAGGGCTCGTAGACACCAACGTCAATTTTGTTTCCTGTTATAATCAGTTCAACCTTTGTCAATTTTGACTTCTAAAGCAAATGGGAGCAGTTTTCTTGCAATTGCAGATCAAGGAACATATTTCATTTCTTTTCTTTTATATAGAATATTTTATTTCATTTCATTTGTTTCCTGTAAATATCTCTCTATTTTGTTTGTTTTTTTTTTCCCTGTTTTAGTACTACATATTGACTAATTGAGCTAACCATAGCCTTTCATTCGTATGGAGATTTCTTGGTTACTATTGGCAATAAAAAGATTGTTCAGACTGCAGAGGAATGACTATGGTCAACGAGATGGGGTAGCAGGCTTACCTGCTCGTGCCATATTTTTCTAAATGGAAGTAAATGTTAGGTTCTTTGCATTTAATAAGTTTCCTGGATAGTTTATATAGCAAGTAATCTGTATCCATCATTGCTGACAAACAGAGAAAAAGAAACTTTGTTGGGTAGGGAGACTGTTCCAATCCAGGCGGCGTGCACGAAATTACGACAAAACAATACCATTCACATTTGCTTTTCCCCACCAGCTTTCCCACTCTGCATGTTTGCTTCAATTATAGAAACGAGGAACCGAGCTACGTTTATATTTAAAGTTCATCTCGCTACTCTTTGCTAAACATGCACCCCCACAGTCATGGATGATTCATGCTTCAATTTCCTTTTGCTTTTGTTGATACAATGTTTCATGGGAAGCTTAGCTGTTATAACTGCAGCAAACCTCACTACAGATCAATACGCACTGCTCGAATTCAAGGACAGCCTTGATTCCGACACCATATTAGCAAACAATTGGACCAGCTCTACCTCTGTTTGCAACTGGGTTGGTGTTTCATGCAGTTCTAGCCCTGAAAGAGTCACCTCCTTGAATCTTGGCAGCATGAATCTTACAGGAACCATTTCTCCGCACCTTGGGGACCTTTCTTCTCTCCTCTCTCTCGACTTGAGCGGCAACAAGCTTAACGGCTATCTCCCTTCGACAATTTATAACTTGTCTTCTTTGCAAATCATGGACTTAACATCTAATGAACTATCTGGTGATTTCCCAGATGACTTTTGTAGGTATTTTCCCAAGCTTGAGGTTCTTCATTTGGCTTTCAATGGGTTTTCTGGAAGTGTTCCTTCAAGTTTAGGTGACTGTACCAATCTTCAAATTTTGTCGCTGTCTAATAATAGATTCAATGGATTTATTCCAACAAGCATTGGGAATTTAACTTGGCTGAAAGAAATACACCTGAGTGGAAATAGTTTACAAGGTATGCTTCTTTTTCATCTTTCTTTCTGCTTAAAGTTTATCAGTTTTTTTGGCGATGCGTTAGAGTTGTTCGATATATTATCCAAGTGTGGGAAAAAAAATTGAACTTTTATTTGTATTTGCAGGTGAAATTCCACGGGAAATAGGTAACCTTTTTAATTTGGAGATATTTGCCGCAGAAAATAACGGGGGTCTTACTGGTGGGATTCCACCTTCCATATTTAACATTTCTTCATTGACAAAATTTATCCTCTTCAACAATAGTCTATCCGGTAGTTTACCAGATAAAATGTGCAATCATCTTTCCAAACTTGAGGTGCTTATTATCTCCTTGAATGAATTATCCGGTCATATTCCATCAAGTATTGGTGAATGTAGCAATCTTCAGAATTTATCACTGTCAACTAATCGATTCAATGGAACCATTCCAAGAAGTTTTGGAAATTTGACTAGCCTCAAACGACTGAATCTACGTGAAAATGATTTAACAGGTAAGAGTTTTTACTTCTATATTTAGTCTTATGCATTATATGGTACTAAACTACAGTTGGAACCTTGTCCCTGATATTTGCATAAACGTTGTATCCCCTTTTGGGAATAATACATAAACAAGCAATCTGATAAATTTAATCGCTTTAGATATGCTTTTACCTATTTTATTTTGCAAATAATTTCCTTTTGTGAACACGTTAAGAAAGTCGATAGCTTTATAATACAGAGATTTTGCTCCTTTGGTCTTTGTTATGCTTGCAGGGGAAATCCCATGGGAAATTGGAAATCTTTATTCATTGGAGATATTGGCTGTCCAGCATATGCGTCTAACTGGTCCCATCCCACCTTCCATCTTCAACATATCTTCCTTAAAAGAAATTTCTCTGAACAACAATAGTCTATCTGGTAATCTACTTTATGAACATTTGGCAACATTTTCTAACATATGTTGTAAGAATTAATATAAAAGAAATAATCATAAAATCAATAATAGGAGAATCATAATAATACATTCAGATTTGATCCATATTAGTATCTTTACATTCATAGGTCAAGTAATTTTGAAGTAAATTCTGATGAGAATTTGGTTCTTGTTAGTACAATATTCAATAGTCCCTAGTTCAAAGTTTGAGCAAGATGATATGATTACTATGATATTTATTATGATATCCTTTGTTTGTTACATAGTGTAAAAATAAGATAATAAAGTGTTATGATTCAGCAAAGACATCACTGATGATAGGATAAGACAACAATTTTTTCACTAGCAAAGTTACCCATATTATGCCATCGTAACTTGAAAGTGTAAGGTTCATGTTTCTGTCTTGAACTTAAAGAATAGTAATATTCATAGCATTGCAAAGGTTTTAATCATAGAAAGCATTACAAAGGTTTTAATCATAGAAAAGATAAGTATGAAAGTTCAAATATGTATATATAGAGCATTGATTTTGACAATTGCTGTCTTTTTCTATTCCTAGTAAAGTTACTCAAAACATTCATTTTAGTTGAACCATAGAATTACATATAATGCAATAAGGCAACCTAAAACTTGTAGAATAATGTATTTGTTCCTTTTGACAGGTGAAATACCTTCTATGATCTCAATTACAAATCTTGAGGAGCTTAGACTATGGGGAAATAATCTCAGCGGCAATATACCCAATTTTATCTCCAGTGCCTCTAAGCTCAGAATCTTAGCACTAGAAGAAAACTCATTCTCTGGTCTTATCCCGAATACACTTGGCAATTTAACATTCCTTGAGCGGCTGAGCCTCGCATCTAATAATTTGATCACTGAAGGTTCAACACATGAGTGGAGCTTTCTGTTTTCTTTAGCAAATTGCAGGAATCTGAGATATTTGAACGTATCATTCAATCCACTGAAAGGCATTCTTCCAAGTTCTATCTCAAATCTGTCTACATCTCTTCAGTTTTTCTATGCCTCAGGTGTCAAAATTACAGGTAGCATTCCCAGGGAAATTGGTAACTTAAGCAATATTACAACTTTAGACCTTTCAAATAATCAATTGAGTGGATCTATTCCAGCAACAATGGGAACGCTACGAAATGTTCAGGGTTTGCTTCTTGATGGTAATCAATTACAAGGGTCTATCCCACCAAGTGTCTGTGGTTTAGAGAGATTATATAACCTATCATTAGGTGGCAACATGCTCCATGGTCCTATACCAACTTGTTTGGCGAATTTGACTTCTCTGAGGTATCTTTACTTAGACTCCAACAAATTGAATTCGACAATACCCTTATCCTTGTGGAGCCTTAATGATATCTTAGAGGTAGACTTGTCCTCAAATTATTTGAATGGTTCCCTTCCACTGGGCATTGAGAAACTGAAAGTATTGACACATTTGAATTTGTCAAGGAATCTGTTATCAGGTGAAATCTTGAGTTCAATTGGAGAACTCCAGGATTTGATTTCTCTAGACTTATCTAATAATAGATTTGATGGTTATATTCCTGAATCATTTGGTGATTTGATAAGTTTGGAATCCTTGGATTTATCCAACAACAATCTCTTTGGAGTCATTCCCAAATCTATGGAGAGACTTTCCTCTCTCAATCATTTTAATGTGTCCTTCAATAGACTAGAAGGAGAAATCCCCATTGGAGGACCCTTCAGAAACTTCTCAGCTAAATCATTTATGAATAATTCTGGACTTTGCGGTTCACCTGCACTACAAGTTCCACCTTGTAAAAGTAGACAATCGAAGATGACTCCTTGGCATGTTTTGAAATATGTTTTACCAGTAGTTGCTTCAATAATATTGATAGCAACTTTCTTTATTCTCCTTAAAAGATGCCGAAAAAAGAGTATAAATCTGCCTGTTAACGAAGATTTATTGCCTCTGGAAAAATGGAGAAGAATTTCCTACAATGAACTTTTACAAGCAACTAATGGATTTGATGAATGCAACTTGCTTGGTTCAGGGGGTTTTGGGTCTGTGTATAGAGGAACACTTTCAGATGGGATGAATGTTGCAATAAAAGTGTTCAATATGCACTCAGAGGACAGCTACAAGAGTTTTGATGTTGAATGTGAAGCAATGCGCAATATTTTTCATCGCAATCTTGTCAAGGTCTTTAGTAGTTGCTCTAATGTTGACTTCAGAGCCTTAATGTTTGAGTTCATGCCTAACGGCAACCTTGAGAAATGGTTATATTCCTATAACTATTTTCTCAATCTCCTACAAAGAATTGACATAATGATTGATGTTGCATCAGCACTAGAGTATCTCCATTTTGGCTGCTCGGTACCTGTGATCCATTGTGACTTAAAGCCAAGTAATATCCTGCTAGACAATGACATGGTTGCACATGTTGGAGATTTTGGCCTTGCCAAACTCTTGGGAGAAGAAGATTCTATAAGACAAACTAAGACACTTGCTACTATTGGGTATATGGCGCCAGGTATTTTTTGCTTCTTATTCATATTTATGTTTCTGTATATACAGTTGCTTCAATCTTTTAGTTTTCTATTGATGATTAATGATGTTACATTAACTAAAACATTTGATCATGTTTTACATACAGAATATGGATCGACTGGAATTGTTTCTCAAAAAGGTGATGTCTATAGTTATGGTATTTTATTGATGGAAACTTTCACAAGGAAGAAACCTACCGATGAAATTTTTTCTGTTGAAATGAGTTTGAAGGATTGGGTGAAAAAGTCCCTCTTCAATGGAACAATTGATGACGTTGTGGATGCCAATTTGTTAAGAGAGGAGGAACATTTCACAGATAAAGTGAACGCTTTATCATCTATCATGGGATTAGCTCTAACCTGTACAACTAAGTTGCCTGAAGAAAGGAAAAATATGAAGGTTGTTGTGGCCATACTCAAGAAAATCAAAATTCAGTTTCTAAAGGATGTTGGGATGGCTTATAATGGTAATGAATATGTTTTCTTTTAATTCTTTACAATTTAGGCTTTATAGAATAAGGTTATTGGATAAATTTTGCATACCAGTCTATACAACTTCCTTCAAATAGCTCTGTTTTAAGCTTGGGAACTTTCCTGCTGTTCAAGGCCCAGAGGATACACATTGTGGGTCCTTTAACTTTTCCAGTTAACTTTTGTTTTCTTTGAGGGAACATCAGTTCCTAAATACCCAGGAGCATGAATTATAGAAAGGCAGTTTTAAAAATCAAGTTATTAAAATGATTGGGAAGATCTGTTTGAATGTTAATAGAAATATAATTACCTGCAAATTCCCTATTTTGGGAAGGAAAAAAAAGGAAGCTTTCTTTTTTGTTCTAATATTTCTATCTTCTTTTCAAAATTTTCCATTATTATTTTTGAATCATTATGTAAATTTTATATCTAACCATGTATTCTTCTCTCCTGTGTTAGGAGAAGGAAAGATTGGTGATGACTATCGAGCCATTACTCTTACTGATGTGGCTGTATGTGAAAACAATGGATAGTCTTCACACAAGGTATTTACTCTAAGACTTATCAATCACAGCTTTTATATTATACCTGAAGATTACAAATTACTACAATTAAATGAAGTGATATGCTGATATCATGTCTTAAACGTGATTTAATTAATCAAGTCATTCTAAATTGGATTGATGTAAAAAACCAGCAACGCCAAGAATGAAAGATTGAGAGTAAAGGAAAATGCTTCAACAAATGTTTAAAAACTTATAAAATCGGAAATGGATGTACCATTAGGAAGAAAAGAAGAAGTGCCCAGATCCAATCCCCATCTCTTCTGTCAACGTTAGACTTGCAAGAAAAGACTTCTCCTCTAATGGCAGGAAGACTCCGCGTAATTTGATCATCCCATATCAGCCATTTTAAATGTCCACCCAGGAAAAAAAAAAGAAAGAAAGAAAAAAAGAAGATATCAGCCTGTCGATGAAGACAGAGACTTCTGAAGAGAGGATTTTCAAAGTGATTAGAAGCTTGTGTTGGCTTCATAATGCTAATCATCGAGGTTGTTGAGGCGTAAAGGCCCCAAAGAGAATTTTGGGCTATGAGAAAAAGGTGTCATCAAACATTGGGCTTTCAAGCCGCTTCTTACTAAGCCCATTGTCCTTTCTTTTTTTTTTTTTTCTGTTATTCTCATGCCAAAGAAAATTTATAAAAAAAAAAATAGATGTAATATATAAAAAAATCTTAAAATTATTTAAAAAAATTCAAATAAACCTTTATAGTTCAATCATGTCTTTATAAATCAAACAAATCTTTTTATTTTTATTTTGAATCAAAGAAATCTTAATAATTGATTTAATCAATCTCATTTATCATTTTATTTTATGTAACGTGACACTAACATATTATAAATGATGATGACATACTGATGGTGGTAAAACTTTGTTAACCAAAACTACATTGACGGAGAGACAAAAAAGTTTCTCCTTTAAACCTACAAGATTTTGGGGTTTTCTTTCACAACATCTTCTTTTTTATCTTCTTGGTTTTCATTTTTCCTTGGATCATCAAATCCAACCCTTCAACTCATCAGGAAACCCATTTTTCAGTTAATCTAGGTGGTCATTAACCCGTAACTATTGAGAGCTTGAGTAATTCCACTAGTAATGATTTAGCAAGAACCATAAAGTATTCCACTTTAGAAGACACTCCTTTTGTTAAGCTTAAAAATTCACTTGGGTTTGATAAATTTTCAGTTTTGGAGGAGATCCAAAGACAAGAAAATGAGAGTGAAGTGCTAGAAGATGGTGATAATGAAATTGAGGATCCTACAATCGAGCAAGAGGGTGTACTTGACCTTCAATAGAAGATATTAAAGTTGAAAGCAATGAATTACCTGAAAAGGATGAAATCATAGTAAATATTGGTAATTTCATTCTCATAGAGATGTTGGAGGGTTAGATATTTATAAACTTTTTACAATTTGATGACAATGAAAAATATTTTTCACAAACAAATTCAAACAATAGAAATTTTTTTATAAAGTATTTGCCATAAAAAATATTTTCTCCCAACAAATTAATTTGCTATTCCTAAATCTAACAAGCTAGCATTGGGTTGTAAGACCCGACCATGCAGTGTAAAATAACTTGACCCAGCTCATGGTCTTTATCTCTGAATCCAGCCTCTTTTCTTATTACTTTGCCAGCAAGGGGTCCAGAGTATTGACTCTCACTTGGGCCTTGACCCTTGAACCTAACCAACTCAGACTTGCAGACAATGTTTACGCTATTATTGTTTGATTGTTTTAATTTGGATAATAACATATTTCATTATATTAAGATGCTTCAATGTCGTCTTTCAGTGATGACTTGACATAAAGGACACAGCAAAGTTCGGATTGCTGGTCTTAATGTTGTGCATTACCCTTTTCCTTAAATTGTAACCATGATTCACCATTGGCCCAGGATGTTTTCCGTGCACAGTTGTGAATCGATAAACTGTCGACAGAAAATAGAAAATCAAATGATTTTAGAGGTATTGATACAAATTTGATTTCTACTGAATAAATCGCTTGATGATAAGGGAATTTAAGAGGAAAGGAAATCTCTACAAGATCATGATAAGAAAGAAATTACTTTTCTTACTAGTTAGATGTTTCACCAAAGGAATATGATATTTTTTGTGTAAAATTATGAATCGATAAATTGTTAATAAAAATAAGAGATTTTGATTCAAATTCGACTTTTATTAAATAAATTGCTTGCTAAAATGGGATTTTTTGTGAAAAAAAAATCTCTACAATAAAAAGGAAAAATGATAAAAATATAAGAATCTTATCCATTTGCCCATTGAAATTAAAAAGTTTGATGAATTAATATGATTTTTCCTTTTACATATAATCTTAACAAAAGTAGGAAAAGAGGTCACATTCCATTATACGAACAGCATAGCTTTAATCTTCACTGTTACAGTTATTAATGAGCTTCTAATCAAAATTCAAGAGTGTTAGGCAGCTGATGTAGTCATTGTTGTTGTCAGTTACCCTTGTGCAACAGAAAGTGATCCTTCAGCCCATGGCATCCAGGAAAATATCGTTGATACAGAACCTCCAAGCTGACTTTTTTTCCTTGCCTGTGTTCTTCTCTGCCCCACAAAGTTGCGGACATGAGGCCAACTAGGAAAAGATTCTCAACAAGTTTCAGCATCCAATGAGTTGAAATTATTGCCACCCCGGAAACGTTGCCTAAAGCAATAGAAAAGGGCAGAGTCCTACTGCTTCCTGCTTTCCATTGTAGCCATACACGAAAACACTGTTTCTCGTAAAACGTGAGCTTGATACAATTTCAGAAGGTGAAAAAAAATGGAAAAATAGACTGCAACCGCAACAGGCAGCTTCCTGTAGCACAGGAGCCTTGCATTCTAACAGCATAAAAGACCTTTATGTTTTCTCGTCATTTGCTTTGCAACGATAGAACCTTCCTATACCGGCCCTGCATGATGATCATCTCAAACATGCAGTCCCGTGTGCCTAAACTTAATGATCATTGTTAGTAATTCGTTTGCAAAAAAGTCAAAATTGTTAAATATTGGTTCTTAATTTCCAGGGTGATGATCAATCCCAAATCATATGGGAACATGGATCCATGTAGCGGATGGTACTAGAGTCGGTGGTCTATCCTATCTTTCATGTTCAATAATGACGTACCCGAATTTAACCAAATGGACCAGCTTGATTAAAAGCACATTTTCGGAAGGATCGTGCTTACCAACCATGGATTTCCAGTGAACAAGATTGGAGGGTCCACAAAAGGAATATTTCCTTCAGCCATACCAATCAGAAGTTGCACATATTTAAAGGAGCTTTCCATGGCTCAAATGATTGCTTAGCCAATACTAGAGCAGGTTCCTCCAAACTTAGCACCTGCAATTCAAACCCCAGAGATAAAAAACCTTTAGTTATGCCACCCACGACCTCTCCATGATTGCATACAGCCATACATGTCCTTATCAAAGTTCCCACTTTCTTCCCAACCCTAGCCCTCTTAAAAATGTTGTCTCCTTCTCAGTACTCTCACCAATTCCAAGCTTGTTATAATTACCATTATCTTGTTGTTCTCTTCTGAGGTTATTTTGTTCTGCGTTTTGTTTTCTCAATGTCAAACTCCGAAGTCTTTTTATCTTCACCTTCTTTGCCTGAGCCATCTCCTGTTAGGGTTCAACTGGTTTCTAAATCTGTATCCGACCGATTACTCGAGAAGTTTTTCGATGTATCTCAATACAACTTTGATTATGAGAAGAGTGGACTTTGGTCTCCCCCAGTTCGGAGAAGTGCCTTTTTAAGCTCACCTGGCAGAATATTCACTGAACAAGAAATGCTTGAGAGGCTCAGGAGTGTAATGGACAGACGTCGTAGTAGAAGATATAATATTTGTTTCAGCGTACGGTCTATACTTTGCCGGTCGTTTATAATCGAATTCATTTCTATTTCATGTCAACAAGCAGAATTCAACTAAGTTGAGCTTGAAATTGTTGTCCCCTTGAGGATTGTTGATGAATCTTTTAAACTCTTTTTGCAGACATTTTGCTGCTCTTGAAGGATTTACGGAAGACCTTCTTTCAATAATGGGTACTGTCACCAGTGCAGTTTAACAACAAAAGCAGAGACAGAGAAAAGAAAGAAACAAGAGAAACCAACAGTACTTTCCTCTCCTTCCTTTATGTATATGTTGTTAATATAGTCGGAGAAATATATGGTAAATAGTATACATTTGTTTGATAAGTTCATCTGCAATCCCCCTTCTCTTCTGGTAATTTTCTTGGAAAGTAAAGTCTAGCTTTCTCAGAAGATGCATATCGTCCACCCTTGCAGGCCACCAAGGTTGAACCACATTGCAATCTGAGCAAGAGTTTCTAATTTCATTGACCCAATATCCGAAATGAGCTAATATTTGTTGGCGTAGGGTCTCAAGCTCAAACGAGTGTCTAATTATTCATTCAACTTTCTCGGAAGATGCAATTATTGATTCCGTATCCAAAACCACCTAATTTTTTTTGGGGTAGGGTCTCAAGCTCAAAAGCACTACTGCTGCATTAGATTAATTAGAATTTGATGTAATTAAATTAAATATTGCTTTACTATAATCCATTGCTGTGCATTATAGTATACAGGCTGTCAGTTTTGGTTCAAAGCAGAGTTATCTAATTTGTTATGATTTCTTCATGCAAATCCCATGCTTGGTCACTAAAATATTAGTAACATACTTTTTACAACTCAATTGGAATCAAGAAAGTACAGAAATTTGGAGTTTCAAATAAACAAGGAAATGTTGAGAATCATCCTGCACTTTCTCGTTAATGTTACATTCTTTAAAACTGTTTAGCATGTAAAGCAAAGGAACTTTTTGAGTCAAACAACAACGAACAACTCAGCATCAATGGCGATTTCAGAAACTCAGTTTTAGTACTAGGGGGAGGGGGGGAAGAAAAGTCTGAAATTTAAAACTAAAGCTGAATCTTTACATTGCACACTTCAAATAAAGCATTATCATCAGTCATTCTGATTAATCCTGCAGGAAGAGTTACTGTATACTTAGGATAATTGTGCGCAAAGTGAAGACAAGATTTGGGATGGGAAGATGCTAGATTGGAATATCACATGGAAATGACATGCTAATCATGTGGTCATCAGTTTTGGATTGGTAACCAAATCCCCAAAATCATAACTCATGCGCTGCGGACAATACTTTTGTGGGGTCCCGGAGCTGCAACGTATGCATGCAAATTACAAGGAGAATAAATTTAAAAGGCCAGCCTGACTTGAGCTGCTCTCAGCCTCTCACCATGCAGACAGCCAAAGAAATTTGTTTTTCTTTCAGCAATCTAATCTGTCTAGACATTGAATCAGAGAGCCCTCCAAAGTCAAGCTGGTCCTGTCCAGCCCTGTTTCTGCGTCGTACAGGACAGTTTTTTTCAGAAACAAGTTCTGCCCTCTTGTTCTTCAATCCTTATTTTGGGATATCAAAGTGAGGTGTAAACTGAAGGGATCGAGTAAAAGGAAAATAGACGAAAGAGCTTTCATAGTACTTTTACTGTTCATCGCAAACAGTGAACTTCATCAAGTCCCATGTAGCTATGGAAGTACCTGTCAACTATATTTATGGCCTTGGGGAGACAGTGGGGCCCTTATGACGTGCACTAATGAATGAATATGTCCCTTTTTTGTCTGCTTATCGTAGTTTTTGTTGACCTTTACATGGAATTTTGTTGCAACTTGCAAACACATTCACACAAACCACAAACCATTTGCTTTACTTACATGAACTCATGAAGCTACAAAAGTAACTAAAATTTTGTACGAAACAAAGGTACTAACCAAACACACTTTCGTTGTTCAAGTTCTTCCCGAGTAATAATTTCAAACGCAGGCATTCCCATTCACCGACGATCAGTTTAAAAGAATGTTTTATGAGTTCTTGATCGCGTGCAATGTTATCTTGAAAGAACTCATTAGCTATAGCCATCTGATCTCGGTAAAAAAGTACAGTGAAAAATGGTCATTCCAGGCATTCTCATTGGGGGGACAAGATACAAAGAGAACTCATGCTATATATGGAATTGTTGTACATTTTGCGTCAAATTGACTGTTCAATTTCCTTGTCGATAAACTCAAATCTACACTCTACACGTCATGATCAAGGGGTCTTTCCATTTTTTTTTCCCTTTTAGTGGAGATTCCTTACAAGTTGCTATAAATTTTCTCTAGAAATGGGCAGTCATATAGGCATGGCAGCATGCAGAAACGCCTGGGCGTTTGCGCTGTGGCCGGTGGTACGTGTTCAACAGAGATTCTCCATCCGCTTCCTTTAATTGTCTTTATCTTCTCTCCCCTTCTCTTCCTTTTAGTTTTACCTCTAAAAACCATCAATAACACCACATAATTCTCTGTTCCTTACAAACTTAACGACCCAACCCACCCTTTCCTTATCTGCGTGGATTACGTTCTTTAATTTCTGATTTTTATGTTTTTTTTGTAGAATTTTTCAATCCAATATTCACTAGGTGGCACAAGAAGAAATACCAACCATGCACCCGGATATATCTACATTCAAATATAAGACTTCAACCACCCATCAACTCCAAGAAGGCAACAACATAGGCCTTTTTAGATTTCACTCGCTAATATTTACAATGGGAACCATACTACACCATTGCTTAACAGCATCTACCAAGGTTTAGTTCAGAAAAAGGGGGAAAAAAGAAGGAGAAAGCCAAGAGTACAGGCCTAGGAGGTAGTGTTTGAGAAGTTATTACATACGTAAACAATAATAAGATGTCTAATGTGATGAGCTTCAGCAATCAAGTGATCACCATCCCTCCCTGAGACACCCATCATATTCATAGTAGTTTTGAGGGAATTTGGAAAGCGACCTACCATGCGATATTGCCATCAACATCAGACTGCAATGGCACTTGTGTTCCAAACTTTCTTTCCCTGTAATGCCATCCTTCAACGTTTTAAAATAAATGTTGTAGTCCTTCTCTAGGGGCGGGTTTTCTGGGTCCACTGTGAATGACTCACTAAATGGAACTACACTTTTAACCTGCAAAAGAAACAACAGTTATAGTATATGAAGAAATAGGGGCACCTACCATTCAACAATAGGCATATCTGCAGCCCAGGTTAGAGTAGACAATGACATCGAATCTTCTCATTTAACACCTCAAGCTAATTTTATCAAACATCCATTGGTTAGTGTTGATTCATCAAGCTTTAATTCCTGTTCTTTTCCTGTCCATCAATGCTTCTAGGTTAATAATAAAAGGGTGACGTACAGGGCTCAAAAATTATAATGCTAGTGGATTATCACTAGCTCATGACTTCTGATATATTTTTAAAATCGACTGATCAACAACACATCATTGATTCCGTATCAGCAGGCCCACAACTCAACCATTTTTTTTTTAAAAGTTCAATTATATTAAAGGTCTGAAAGAACATTAGTTCCCCAGCAAAAAGATTTTGCAAGGCATATCCCATACAAAAGAACCTTGAGGTATGCCATAACAAAATCACACAAGGATCAACCCCTGTACATAAGCCAGCAAAAACTCCTATACAAACCCATTCCCCACACAAACCAACCCCTATAGACAAAAAGGGAACAGAACTCAGGATATAGAATGTGAACTTTCAATCTCCAGGACTATTCCCAGAAATGGGCAAACACAAAAAATATCCCTTCGAAAAAATAAGAGAGGTTGCAGTAGGAATCAATAGGTGATTTAACTATTAGTTCCTTTAATTGTGACAGAACCCCTTCGCTCATCTCCCCAAACCGTGAACAACTCTATTTCTCTCCTTATACCAGATTTTGCAAGAATATCAGCTTGTTGGTTTGCCTTCCTCAATGTGTGTTTGACTTCTCATGTTTTCACTCTTCTTTTTAGAGTTTCAATATGGAGAACCCACTTTCTTAACCTCCACGGAGCTGAATCTGGTGTGTAAACCCATTTATTAAGATTTTGAATGCTATGACCAATTATGGCTCATCCCTATGTAAAGCTACAACCACATGTAGCAAAATGATATGATTAGCTATAATAGCAAGTAATAGACTAACCTCAAATGTCTTGTCACATGCATATGGGCTTTCCAAGGCAGCAATGCATATGCGCGCAATTTCTTCCCTTGATATCTTTCCCTGTATTATCAGATAATTGGACAGTTTTAACAAGAAATCAGGGTTTCAGCCACACCGAATCTTCATATCCAGGAAACAAGTTATGAGGTAGAGTTGCATTTTAATTTTGAGATTTAACATAAATAACCACAGATCAATATCAGACAAGCCTAGTCAAAAATCGAATTTTTAACTTCCATTCACTGCCAGCAACATTACATTGTCTGCTTGGTAAAAAATGAGATCTGCTCTGTCAAGCTCTTCATTTAATGCATACGCCTGCCCTCTCAGTGGCCAAATATCATATTTAGGGAACCAGTTATGTAGAATAATTATCAGAAAGATATCGTTTCATTAGATATCTAACACACAGATTTAGAATATTAGACAAACCAAGTCAATAGCTGATTGTTCAGCTTCCTTTCAATGCCATACCATTATATTGTCTCCTTGATCAAAAATGAGATCTGCTCCAGCAGGCTCTTCAGTTAATGCACAAGGCCTAACAATTGTATAAGGAATTCCACTTTCCCGTATCAAATCCTCACCCTGTTCTAGAAAAAAAAGAAAAACAGTGTAAGAAAAGACACAGGTTCTAGTCTTCATAGGTAAAGGACTGATGATGTAGAGGGAAATGCTTCAGCTGAGCATGTCACATGGCTAGAGGACTGAAAAAGTACAATTAACATAGCAACACCATTTCTTAAAGCAATAATTCATCAAATTAAATATATTTGTATAAAGTAGCAAGATTAAGAAATTGAAAAAGAAGGGATTTCCAAATCATTAAAGGGGGAAGAGAAACTTTGGTTGATGTATTCCCCTTCTTGCTCGATGCTGCCCAAAGTATGTGAACTCTATATCTATTTTAGACACCAGCTTGATAGAAAATGCATCATATATATAAAAAATGATACTATATAATGATATCATACATTCAAGGATTTCTACTGTTTAATTGTTGTAACTTTCTTGTTTTGAAACCAATACTACATTCAAATTCACCTTAGTATTTCATTTCAAAATGATATCATCTAGATATGAAAAATTTAATCTGGCTACTTATCTTCATTTTTTCAATATAAAGTTCTAGGAAATACATACAGGTTAATTTTCCAGTTATATCAATTGTTGTCAGACAATTTATAGCAGGTGCAGAGAAAAGTAGCAGAGAGAATTGAAACTCAGCTACCAGTTTGCATGCAAAAAGCAGGTGGTATTTTCTCTTCAACAAATGATTCAATATTTTTCCCTAAATGAATGAATGAATAAACAAAAAATACATGTGAAGAATTGAACAAAACCTTCAACTTGAATGTTAGGACAAAGCCCAAGTCCTTATTCAAGCGAACAGCAGGAGGCTGTTTGCTCAGATCAATGCCAGGTCTGTCTGGTCGAGTAACTCCTGCAGAGCTCACATGGACAAACCTACATGTGATGCAACAATTAAAAAATTGGATAAGACGCTCACTCTTAACACCCCCCTCCCTGCCCCAAAAAGAAGAAGAAAGTCTAGACCTCATTATCCATAGAATCTGGTAAATGAAGAGATAAAAAAAAAAACCTGGGAGTGATAGGATCCTTTATGTATGCTCTTACGCTTGACATTGGAAGCTCAAAATGTCCTTCCACAAAAGTGGGATTCAGTTTCCCATCATATTCAAACTTGCTGAACATGAGCTGGAATGATTTTGCTTGTAAACAGTATGGTAAAAACACAAAAAGTAGAAAGATCAGAAAACATAGACACAGTAACAGACCTGCAATGATACAACATTGCTTGGATCAAAGGGTGGGGCATCAGATGCAGTCCGTGCTCGAAATACAGGCCTCAATGAAGAGAACGGCAAACAAATCTGTAAAGAAACAATAAGTTACAAATTGAATGAAGAATATAACTTGTTCAATAACGCTGAATTATTGAGTGGTCATGGTGTTACGCACAGACTGCCATTGGCCTCCAATGGTGTCAAAGCTTGCTGCATAACCCACAGTATCCCAATCAGTGCTAGTGCGAACAATTAGTTTATACCGACGCCCATCACCCTTTAACCGCAGCTCCAAACCATCATATGCCGAAAGATCCTCTGGTGTGGAAAAGTTCTGAAAATAAAAACCAATTATTTTTTCCTTTTCACATGAGAAAATCGTATCAAACATTAAGCTATGCATCCAAAAGTCTTCCTGAACACCCAAAGACAATCATGCTTGTGCACCCAAAAAGGATAGTCGAATCGATATGTCTATAAATTATAAATAACAAAGAAGTTCTTCAAATGTGATTTTTGCGCATGAGTTCAGTTTTCAATAAACAGTCATAATCTAATCTAGTTTGTTACAATCCTACCTTAATATTTTCCTTAAAGCTGCAAATCTCAGGAGTTGAAAACTATGGTGATTGCAAATGCCAGCATCTTACCATTGTGCCAAAAAAAAAAAGCCCCTTAACGTTTTATGACTATTAACAAAGTGAGCACACTTACAATGTTCAAGTGCCTGAGACCACAAAATTGTGAAACATGCATGGCACAAGATCATTAAAGTTTGAGAAAAGCCATTGTGGTTTACATACCCTTGTTCTGATACTAGTAAACCCACCATTGTTTGCTGTTGAAACAATGCCTAACACAGACAAAAAGAATTGGAGAAGAAAAAGAGATAAACACGAGCAAAGAGATTAGAGTCATATAGAGAAGCTTATAAATCATGGTTCTAATTGAATTCCAGCAGGATGTAGTATGGAGAAAGAGAGAATCAGATGAAAGGTTCTTAAAAGAACAAACCTTTGAAAAGCCCAGTTGGTTTACCACTTTCACCACCAGTCCAATCAATCTGAAACGTACTTTCACTAACACCGCCCATTACAACATCATCTAAAGCACCCCAACTAAGTTCTTTTGAACTCTGCCCTGCTTAATAGAAACATGGGGAAAAAACCTCAATAACCTTATTTTGCATACAACCAGAAAAATAAGATTTCTCATCTATCCTAAAGTGCCGATAGGCATTTGAATGGGTTAGTGGTGTTTTGCTTGCAGTAATTCCATATGTTGTTAAGCTCATAGAATGTTGTTTACAGAATAGTTACCTAAATTTAGCCAACATGCATTATTGACGAAATTTTTTCATAATGTAGCTGACCAGCAGGTATCGTCGTAGACTAATCATCACCTCGAGCCCAAACATTGTTGGCTTGTCTGAAAATTGATGCTAGGATACCATAGATTTTATACCAACATCACATCACAACTTCAAAAATTGAGATATACTACAGATGTTACAAATGAGTAAATGAAATACTCAGAAATCAATGTTTGATATGCAAACTTAAAACCTCTATGTAATAACATTTAAATTCATAGAAGTTTTTCTCCTTTGTTTCCTTAATTTACAAGACAAAGTAAAGCACATAGACCTGAATATCCCATCCCTTTCTTCATAATTTATAATTAATTATAATCAATTTAGCTTGTCCAAACTGAAAAGAAGGTGCTCCTGCAGCTTTGCTGTAGCAAGGGTATTAATTGCAATTTCAACTTGCAGGAGAGTTATGAGAATACCTTCAAACCCAAAGAGCAGTTTCCCACTTCGAAGTCCAATACCCTCCTTTACAGCATTAATCAAAATTTTCATTCCAATATACTCCACCATTTCAGGTGAAGCACCTTTTATCTGTTTCAACATATGAACAAAATCTCAAAGTTAAGGGCAAAATAGTTGTAACTCTAGAAGAGAAACAAAAGCAAACAAATTCTCAAGTATAACTTCCTTGAGACAAAAGAAAATCCAATGAGGCACAAGATTGCTCTTAGTACGCCACCTCTGGTTCAAAAAACTTGATTCCCTGTAAAACATAACAATTGGATGTCAGGCTCCTCAACCAGGAACAAAGAGTTAAAATAAAATCCAATCACAAATTCAATCTTCTAGGGGAATAAACAAAACAAATAAACTATTGAAGGGCAGATCATATTAAAAGAAATTTTAGAAACTAGGCCAACTATTTTATAATATAATCAATAATTCTCATCATTTTGAGAATGCTTAAAATCATACTTGACTATATTTTGCTCTGTCAGGAGTGTCCCCTTCCTTTGGGCCAATAATTACAGAAGCAGCATTTATGACTTTCCTCACTCCTTTGAAGTACTCAGGGGCCAGAGTGCTCTCCTTCGTAATGTCTCCAACAATCTGCAATTTGGATGAAAAGTCAAAGTTGGAAACATGGAATGGAAGGATTAACAGAAAAACTCTATCAACAGCGAAGAAGGAAGGATATATGATCATGACTCTAATTCTGGGTCACATGACATTATGACAGCACTGAAAGTTAAATTCATAAATCTATTGATTTTATGCAATACCTTGTTTAAGCCATGAGTGTCACTACATTACAAAATCAACAATATAAAACATAATTCCATTGAGGCCTTAAATATGGGAAGCTAGCTCACCAATTCAATCTCTGGACCCAACATCCTTCTTGCCTTCTCTTCATTCCTCACCTAAAAGTAGGCACACATGAAAGCAAAAGTTGAAAGGGGAAAGAGGCAAAAAGAATAAGAGGAAGGAGGTAACATCTATCGAGCTTCTATTTTTTGGTACAAAGGAAGAGAAGCTCAAAAGAATACTAACACTGGCACTCCTCAAGCACTTCAAAAGATATAAATTCACAATTTCAGAGAATGCACGATAAATATGTCAAAAGTTAAGGACAAATACCAATGCTTTAACTGGCAACCCTTTCTTCCTTAAGTTGTCAACCACTCTTCTTCCTACGCCCCCAGTAGCTCCAGCTACCAGAATGAAACTAGCAGTTTCCATTTTCTTTGCTGATTCTTCGGGTGACGGGCCGAACAATTTCCCAATTATGAATTCAACAACCTTCACGGCAACAACAAATTCACATTATTGTATGCACACATATTTCACAATTACACATGATTAAAACTGGAATAGAAAGTCTTTCTTACCTTAGCAGGAGAAGGTGGTCCATTGAAAAAGTATAATGTTTTCAAAAATCTCCCCAAGTCCCAACCCTGCTTTTCTGCGCATATAGGCCCTTTGTACGTTCTGGAAGATAAATACGCTGATCTTTGTCGGTAAAGAAAACACTTAGGTCTGCCATTAAGTTGAAGAAACGGTTTAGGAAGTGGACATGACAGATGCTGAGGCTGCATACAATTCTTAGAAAATTTTCTACCAACATTTGATGAAGCCCCCTGCAGTTTCAGTTGATCAAGCTATGAAATTCAAAGTAAACCATGATTATAAACAAAATGGCAGAAACTAAATTTGGCAAAGAAGGTAGTTCATAGATATTGTATCAAAAGTCACAACCTTCTTAAACAAATGATACTTACACCTCCAAGTGAAGTTAAAATAAGAACCCCACAAATACTTATAAATGAAATATATTCATAAAAAAAGCCTAACACAAACAAACGCATGTAATAATGATGGTTTACTTGCCTGAATACTGAGAATGGAGGAGAAGGAAGATGATGATGATATTGCTGTAGAGCAACAACTTTCCATTTTCTTAATGGTGGGTGACAGAGTCCAAAAAAGAAGAGGAATGTACCAGTAATAGTTGACAAAGAGGAGATTTTAAGGCTGGTGTTGTTGATTGATGATGGTTTGATATTTGAAGCAGAGCAGTTAATACAGACCACACACCCGAAGCCTTTAACAGTCGCATTCAAAAGTTGGACTGTCGAAAGAAAAAGGCGCTCTTTAGAATGGGCTTGATGGGGTTTGCCGCTGAGCCAGTGGAACTGGGCTCCCAAACCCATTAGGATGGCCTAGTCACTTGCTTCTCCAACCCATAAAAAAAAGGGTCAATAAAATTAGTTTTGTATTGGTTCTATAGTAATTAAATACATTGTATACATATTTCTACTGTGTCAAGCGTTATAATAGTGCTTGTGAACATTTAATTTAATAATTGATACATGATTTTTTATTTAGTAGATTCAAATCTCTTATAACAATATAAAATAAAAAATATAATATTTAAAAAAAATTAATTACAAAATAAATCAACAAACGGACAATGGTTGTGGTTTATTAGATGTTGGATTAGTGATAAGAATGAATTGAAAAGAACAAAACAATTATCGAACTGAATGATGTTAATAATCTTTATAAATTTTTCCCCCAGTCAGATGAAATTATGTCAAACTAATTTGGCCTATATAGCATGGGACAAATATGAACTAAGCTCCAAGGCAGAAAAGTATATAAATGGCTAGGAAGCTCAGACAGAACCCTAGTTGTTCACCAAAATATTTTGCCAACAGGATCCCATTTTACATTTCAAAAGTCTCGTTGGTTGTCCCATTCGCGAGTAGAGGCAATTTTTGAATTTCCGAATGTTTAAGCCAGTCAATGCCGGAACACAGCAACCGACTGCGTGTGAATACATAGGAGAATTTACTTGTGACTTAGGAAATTTCAATGTTGTCGAAAAGAAGTAATAGTTACCACTTCAGGAAACGATGATTTCTATATGTCGACTGCCTTCCTAGTTCCTAGACTAAGAAAGAGCAAAAGGCAGAGGGAACAATTTGTTGCAGGGTGGTGCATGTAGGAACAAGGGCAGGCTCATAAATAAATCTTATGCAGCCACAAGCCACTCCTGCTTCTACAACTTAAAACTATGGCCTGCTTAAGCTTGCTGCAGTTAGTGATTATCTTATCTCAAGCTTTTACCCATGTCCTGTAGCAGCTTTTCTGCCAAATTCAACTGTCATTTTTCTACAGCCAACAGAACAACTTGGACAAACAACAATGATTCCCGTCATCAAGCAACAAAATTCGAGGATGGCTCACTGGCTCGTTTTATACTATTCAAGGCAGCAACAAGCCCTGTTTCTGCAGTTGGCCATTTTGGATTCGGATTTGGCTTTTATTGCAATTGGGCTTTTTCTGGTTTCTATGACTTGTCGATTCTTTTCGTGGATTTGCTCAATGGTCAAGTTAATTCAAGGAGGCGTCCCCAGGTACCTTAGTCAGCAAATTGGAAGAGTCCAGTTAGAGAAAATGCAACACTCAAATTCTCCCACGGTGGAAATTTGCCCTTGATAGACGAAAATGGTATTGAAATTTGGTCAACTCATACATCTGGTATGTCTATTGTTGGTATGAGAATTGATGAAAAAGGCAACATGATACTCGTGAACGAAAGCAATGGCCCTGTTTGGGAGTCTTCCCTCTATCCTACCCATACTCTTCTACTTGGGCAAGTAATAACGGAAAACCAATTGCTTACTTCAAGAATCAATTCTGTCAATGCCAGCCAAGGCTTGTTTTAGCCTACTCTAAATTCTCTTGGCATGGTTGCATATCTGGTGGGTGACAAACCAACCCAGTATCTAACTGTTGGTCCCGTTGCGGAGGCTGTACCTCTCTCTACACCAGAGGAAGTTCGTCACCTGCAATTTGTTCAGTTTATAATGGGAGGGATCGATTTCTATTTCCAAACAAAGGGTAAAATGAATAAAACAGCACTCAGTGTTTTGAGTTCAGCAACTATTCAGTTTCTGAGGCTGGATATTGATGGGGGTCTTAGGATAAAGGGTGGAACCTTGGAGATGTATGGAGAACGGTTCACTTTTGGCTGCATACATCAGACGAATGTTGGATCCCACTCAAGTGTGGCAGGCATGGGGTTTGCAAATGTGGTGAGTGCACTTGTCCTGTTGCACCAAATGGCGCGGACTACTTTACAATAAGAAATTATCAACATTCTAATGATGGTTGTCGCGAAATCAATCGTCCACAAGGACCATTTCCAGGTACACCTCCTGAATATGAAATGATTTATTCCGGAAATCTTTCCTATTTCACTAGCTTTGATGTGAAGGCGTCTACTCTTCAATTAATCAATGAGAAAAGATGCAAGCAAGCCTGTAAGGAAAATGAAGCTTGTAAAGCTGCCTTTTTCATTTCTATGAAAGCAACTTCGGAAGGATATTTTTCTTTGCATTCCGATCTTCTCTCAATGATAGGTAATCCACGTGAAGGAGGGTACCATGTATCATCATACATAAAGGTCGCTTCCTCTTCCTATCCGGAAAACAGACCTTTTCACTCTAAGTCTTGGAAGCTAATGCTATTAGCTATATATGCCTTTTTGCTAAGTATGATTGTTGTTGTTACAATATGCTTCCTGCTACGGGAAAAGATGAACTGTGCTTGCATACAACAGAATGATCTTAAGTCAGTCATCTCAAGAACTCTAATAAGTTTCTCTTACAGTGAATTATCTTTTGCAACTGCTAAGTTCACTAAAAGGTTGGGAGGAGGAGGTTTCGGAGTGGCGTAGAAAGGGATGCTAAAGGATGGAACAATGGTTGAAATAAAGCGGCTTGAAAACACCGGGCAAGGGATTGAAGAGTTTCTAGCGGAGGTGGACACAATCGGAAACATACATCACATTAACTTGGTGAAGCTAATCGGTTTTTGTGTTGAGAAAAGGCACAGGATTTTAGTTTATGAATATATGAGCGGAGGGTCGTTGGACGAATGGATCTTCCATGAAAACAGAAACTTTTGTCTCGATTGGAAAACAAGAAAGAAGATTGCATTAGACATAGCAAAAGTGTTAGCATATCTTCATGGAGATTGCAGACAAAGAATTGCTCATTTAGATGTCAAGCCGCAAAACATTTTCTTGATGACAATTTCAATGCAAAGGTTTCTGATTTTGGGTTGCCAAAGCTGATTAATAGGGATCAGAGTCAAGTAGTGACCCGGATAAGAGGCACGTTGTGGTACTTAGCTCCTGAGTGGCACCACTCAAGAATTACAGTAAAAGTTGACATTTACAGCTTTGGAATTGTTCTCCTAGAAGTTGTCACGGGGAAGAAGATCTTAGATTACAGTCAACCGGATTCATATGTTTGTTTTCTAAATCTTTTAAAGAATAAGTGCCTTGAGAATCAGCTGATGAATATTATAGACCTCACAAGTGAAGATCTGCAACAGCACCTTGAAGAAGTCATTGCTATGACAATGCAGGGACCGTGGTGTGTGAATGAAGATTGTACGAGACGACCCTGTATGAGTTCAGTGGTAAAGATGTTGGAGGAAGAGAAGATGCCTGAACCAAGCTGCCATTTGAGGTTTCCTCTAGCATTTCCTTTACCACCCTCTGATAGTTACTCCTAGTAAAAGCTTAATTCCGCAACATGGACATCACTATAAACAATTATCATAACCTTGTTATATCTGGCTGCCAACTAGATTAAGTAGCTCTTTTACAGAAAAAAAATGCGTTTGCCGGGAGTCGAACCCGGGTCTATTGCTTGGAAGGCAATTATCCTAACCGTTGGACTACAAACGCTGATTGCTTTGCTTGGATCCGCCTAGCAAGTTGAGGTATGCACGCTCAAGCAGCTCTGTTTTTCACCCTGGGTGGCATTGAAAGTGGTTGGATTTGTGCTTATTGCATTTTGCAATTAAGCCATTATTATATTTATTCCTGCAATAGAATGAGCTGGCAGACCATTTAGGTTGGCCAACACCAAATTATGCATGTATGTAAATATATCCCCTAACTACTTATTGGCAAGTGATTGGTTCAAGCCCTTTACTTTGGGTTGGAGCCTAACTCTACCCAATCTTCTGATACCAAACTCCTTCTCAGATTCTCCCTTTACCGACCCATAATTGTTTCCTGGCCCAAAAGGAAAATATAATGTTTTTCGCTTTCAATTTAGGTCACAAATGAACAACTAAACCTAAATTGGGAGAGGAGAAAAATGAAAGCAAAGAATGATAGCACATTAGTACTCAACAGGGAAAGCATATTCCCAACAACCCTTTTAATTTTGAACTAAGTTATGCTGAATGAATTCAAACTAGGTTAGTACTAATATTCAAAAAGTTATTTAAATTCAAATCTTTGTGGGATCATAAAGCACATTTATATTAATATTCAATATCTATATATTATAGATAGATATATGCCCATATAAAGTTGGATTAAAAGAGCTAAAATGGGAGTGGCGGTGGGAAAGAAGTACGTTTCTATTGGCCAGTCTGAATTGAATTTGATATAAACAGCCTAGTAGGCTTGTGATCATTTTTTTTTTCAAATCTACTTTTGACGAATTCTCAAAAAATACAAAAAATAATAAGTCCCATACATGAATTACGTGGGTCATTTATTCTATATATAGTAATGAATGACAAACAATTCAACATCCCAACTTTATTAATTTTGATGACCAAATCATGAAATTTGCTAAGCAAGCTACACTTTTTCATGAATTAGAATTGTCCTTTTGAGTGTTTTGACTGATTATTTGTATCATGCAAATCTTTTAATCAAAACATCCAGCATAAAAAAAAAAATATGGAAATGGTCTCCAAAGTCAATTGAAGATGCATATAATAGCAATATCTTCAGGCACAAGGCGATGTCCGGCCCTGACTTTGTTGATGCGAACTTTTCGGGTTTGTAGTGAGACAAGGGAAGCACTTTCGGCCAACGGCAACGGGGGTGCTCTTGTCGACTGGCGGACACCCGAGCTGCTGACGTGGGTGAATGCTTTGGGGACCCTTCTGCAGACATTATGCCCAGCAAACATTTTCTATTTTTTATTATGAAAACATTTATGCCGACAGTTTTAGCTAATTTAACACGATTTTTTTGAGGGTTTCCTCTTTGTTTCCCGGTTTTGTTTTTTCTCATTGTGTTAGCAATTCGTAAAGATTATATATATATATATATATATATGTATGAATTTATTATTTAGGTCAATATTGTCGACGGTTTATTCTTTTGTATTTATCTAAAGGAAGGGTACTTGTCAAATATGGTAAGGGAAATGGCTCACATGATGAGTCATGGTTTCTATCATCTTTCTTTTGAATTTCGATGCAAATTTTATTTTGTTTTAAATGAGTGAAAATGTGAAGGATTTCTAAAGTTGAAAATGTTGTTATATTTGTATTCTAATTTGTCGGTGAAAGAATCGGAAAGTAAAACCTAATGGTCGTATGTATAAATGCATGCTAAATGTAATCCTTTGAGGTATGAGCATTCATTGAAAGAAAAAAAGAGAGTTGACCCATTAGGCATTTCGCCATTAAAAATCATTCAATCCATATATATTCTTGTTTATAATCTATGGTTGAAAGGACTAAATATTTTAAAATGATGCTTTGCCAATTGCCCTCCCCTTGAGGACTCTTTGTTGAGGGTTGTTGTTGACTTTCTCAACACAAAACAAAATCATCTTTCATAGGCCATTTGCTGCTATACTCTTTACATGTTCCGATTGGATAATATAGAAAATAATAGCAAAAAAATGAAAAATAAAATAAAAATGTAACAAAGTCGAATAAATTATTATTCAAAAACTTGTAATTCATGCAATGCATTTTCATTTCCCCATCTGTTATCAAATACCATATAACTCATATATATTATTAATTAAGAAAATGATGGTTGGATGTATAGATCATGATGAAGAAGTCAAATTCCTTTCTTCTACACATTAACCTCTCGTTTTCTTTTCTGGTTTACTTGGGTTAGTGATCCGAGGTCTACATAGTTAATCAGTTGTCAATTTATGGTGGTTTGCTAAAAGATTTGTTCGTTATTAAAAAAATAATGAAGTGTTTTAGTTGCTAAGGACTAAGGATGTATGATTATTGGTAGTTAATTTGGCTAAGTCAAGTCTTGCATATTTTCATTGACTTCTTAGATGCTAACAACTAGGACACTGAGAGGTAGGTTTTGAGTTCTTTTATAGTTGTTGTTAGCTATATTCCGAAACAATAAATTAATGCTAGTGTCCATTATCAATTTTATAGTACTATTTTAATGTTTATGGTTACCCAATAAGGCCACTTGCCTCAGCGATATGCAATTTGCAAGTCTGGATTAAACTATGACTATGATATGTGCTATACAAACCTAGAGTTGAAGAGATCTTAAGACCAAATTAACTAAGAGGAGGTGTTATTACTTAATCATGAAAGAATACGAGAGTCCTGGTTAATGAGCTTAATTTAAAAAGGTAATGAACATGTGTCAATTTAAAAGATAACAATTTTTTTACACCAATTCTTAATTGATCACACGTTGGTGCTTAATTTGCATTCTCAAAGGGGCATTCAATAAAATTGAAACAATAGGAAGTGCTTCTTTGCCCTTTGCTACCCTTCTTTCCCTAGCATTGATATTTTCCTTTTTTTTAAAAAAAAAGCATGAGAATTAATTTCATTACTTAATGAACTTTACAAAAAACTACCCTAAAATGATAGTAGAGTAAAATGTCAGGGATAGAGATACCATCATGTACGTATTTACATATGAGAATTTGATAACAACTTAAAACGGTTGTGTCTGGGATCATACTAACAAAAACTCACTTAACATAGCTCTTCAACACGAACAAGAAGAATCCCAAGGAACACAAATCATTATCATTCCACCACAACCGGGTTTGAGCACCCTTGGCATCAACAATGGCCGGCTTAGAACATCAAAAATATGTATTCCGGTTATTAAAAACAAGTAAACCATGTATGAAAGTGTGTTGAATATATAACCAACAATTACAATTTGCAAGGTTAAACACTAGTATTAGTTTTGAATTAAATTAATTATTAGAATAATAAAGTCAATAACCATAATATATATAATGTCAAATGCTTAATTATGCACATAGTATAATGTTGGTAGGTATGTATAATTATGACATATACCCATGTGAGTGTCATTTGATACTGATGTGTCTTATTATATTCCTAAGTCAAAACTCTTAACAGAACACGATTAGTGCAAATGGATGTGCAGGCATAACTTAATTAACTTTTGCTTAAACTATTTAATTTTTTTTTCCATTCAGCAGGGTGATTTGATTTCATTGGCAAACTGTAACATGCATTCATGTATCCTGCCTGCAAATAAACTTCGTTTATCTGATAGGGGCGGCGGAAAGTTCCCCCCTAAACCCTGGTCCATTAATTAAGGTTAGATCCAAACGAAATATTATGTTTAAGTTAATTTTTCTGCCAAATGTAGTCAATCTCAGTACCTTAATTAAACCAATAAAACTTAGTTTTCATCAGGGGGTATTTCTGCCTGCAATATAAGCCAAACAAACGGTATAAAAGGGTATGGACAAATTCTACGCAAGCTAGCTAGATGGCTTATGGAAGATGTACATTTTTATTTTTTGCCTAAAAGATTTATATGTAAGAGGCTGGACCTATTCTCCTATGACATTGGTAGAAGTAATGGCACCGAAGATATTAACTTGTGTGACATGCATCAAAATTATTGAGAAACCATTAAAGTGACAATGAGGGCTTATCTCTGACACTTGACAGTTTCCTAACCGATGTTCCAGTCCCAGGAACAGCTACATCCCAAACTAGCACAACTTCATAAAACTTATAATACTGGTAATCAAAGAAACAAACAGGCCTCTGACGGCCGCTTTTTGTGAACGATTACGTGCGAAACACCAACTATGGTGGGAGAGAGCTAGCTTCAAACCACATTAGTTGGTCTTTATCCAATTTGGCCTTTATGATTGGCATCTCCTGAGATGAGGGTGATGGTGTGGAACGAACTCTTTTTGAAGATTCTTTGTTTGCGTCTGCAAAAACAAGTCCATTTTCAGACGCAGATCAAACTTGCAACAGTGACTAATGCTGTCCTATCGTGCCTTAATAATTTGAAATGTGAGAGTTCGTGGTTTAGAAATTTTGGTACTTAATGCCAGAAAGATGGTATCACAGTAATTCGGGTTTTATTTTTTTTTGTATTGCGGTTGCTTAGAATATCTAGAAAATCTTAATCCTTGACCAAGAAATCAGTTTCCCGTTGACCAAACAAAGGATAAAACCTCAATTAATTAATCCTAACAAGTATTTATAAATACCCGAACCTTCAATTTAAAAAATAAAGGGTTATAAAGTCATTGCAGAACAAAAGCTTCCGAAGAATCGGAACATACAAATTAGTGGCACCTCACTCTGCCTTCTGACGCAGGGTGTCAGTAAAACCATTAGAAAGACAATTATTATGTTGTTTAAGGTTTTATATTCAAAATTGAACACTTCTTTGTCTCGTAAGAAGATCGCCACTTTTCCAATCTGAACATGGCCTGGGACCATGTGGATCTTAATCTTTATTCTTTTCCTTCACGGTTTTGACTTGGGCAGTTTGGCCTGCCAATCAGAGCTCCAGCTTCTATTCAATCTTACAGCTTGGCTAAACCTATAAAAATTGGCTTACATTTGGCGGTGGCTCATCACATTTGTTAGATAAAAGTAATAGATACGGTGATGGTACATGTACCAATAGAGAAGCACTGTCGTTGCTGAGATAGTTCTTGTGGGAACTATCTGTGACATAAGCTGGCGCGATTTTTTCAAA